TCTCTCTCTCTCTCTTAAAAAAAACAAAAACAGAGTGAAAAAGGCAGAAAAGGGACAGTCAGACACGGAGAGCCAAGAGGCTCCCAGGGGGTAGTCAGGCTGGGAATGAGGCTGGAAGGAGAGTCCCAGGAGCCAGGGCAGGAACACCTCCCAAGCCTGGGGGAAACCCTCACCAGTAAGGTGTCCCAATGAAAGACAGGCGTCTAGCCAGCGTCGCCCCAATCTGGGCCGAGATCCCAAAGTCAGCTGGAGACAGAGGGAGAGATACAGCATGTCAATACCCCTGGGTGCCAGTTAGCTCCCTGTCACACCCGGCAGCCACACTCACCCAGTCGGACCTCCCCAGCATCGTTGATGAGGATATTGGCTCCCTGGACACAAGAGGAAGGATGCGATGCTGTCAGAGACCCCCTTTCCAGCCACTGCTGCCCCATCGCCTGTTCCTGCACTCCACAGGGCAAGCTACCCTATCCCTGAGCCCCCAAAAAGCCACTCCCCCCTCCCGGGCTCCACCCCTAGTGTCACCTTCACCCCCAGACCACCTTGATGTCCCGGTGTATCTTCTTCTGTGAGTGCAGGTAGGCCAGCCCCTGGGGAGGAGGCAGACAAGGGGGCTGGGAATGCCTGCGGGATGAAGCAAGCCCCGGTCCCCAGGGCCCCCCAGGCCTCTCCTCACCTGGAGCACTTCCCGGCAGACATAGCTGATCTGGAGCTCTGAGAGGGAGCCAGTCACTGCAAAGGTCACCCCGGCCAGGCCAGGTGTTGGACAGGGAGCCAGGAAGTGGGGGTGGAGTTGGGGGTTCCCTGGCTCCACCTACCCACACCATCTGAGAGAGTGCCCAAGAGGGAGGGGGCACAGGACGGGACAGGTGGGAGGGGAGAGGGAGGCCCAAGGGAGGCCGAGGGGAGGGGGGGGCTGGGAGGTCACAAGGCTGGGAGAGAGATTGTGATGCATGGACACAGGCCAGAGGGAGATAGTCACTGGATATTATTTACGTCTACTGTGTACATCTAAGGACACAGCCGTGACCAAAAGACACATCCCTGCCCTCGTGGAGAGAACGTTCCAGTGGGGGAGACAGATGATAAGCAAGTAAAACACACAGCACATAGGGCTGGGCCTGTGGTTTGGTGGTAGAGCACTTGCCAAGCATGTGCCAGGCCCTGGCTTCAATCCCCAGCACCAGTGGGGAAATTTTTACATATGTGCACATGGGTATGCACCCATATATGCACCCAACACAAACAATAAACAGGAAAACAGAGCAATAAAAGATAACAGGAAATATGTGTAGGAAAGACTATGACATTTTACACCACGTTGTCATAAAGCTACGAAAGTGACAGCGGGGGACATGAGGGACCTCCTCAGAGGGAGAAGAGGAATAGCAAGGGCAGGGATGGGGGGTGGGTAGGACGGTTTCTGGGGCTGAAAAATGGCCAAGTGGGGGGACAGAGCAGGGAGGAGAAAAGCCATCGGAGAAAGGCTGGTCGGCTTGGGTGGACCAGGGCCAGGGCAAAGGCCATGAAGAGTTGGGGCTTCAGAGGGACACGGGAGCCCTGGGAGGCCTCCCAACAGGAGAATGATGTGACTGCCTGCAAAATGAGGAATGGCAGAGAGCGACAGAGACAGAGAGAAACAGGGACAGAGCCAAACTGAGACACAGAAAGAGCCAGGCAGAGACCAAACGCGGTATGACAGACATTTTGAAAGAGAGAGACATTGGAGGGGTAAAGAGGGGACAATAGAGACAAGAGATAGGGGAGGCACAGAAACCAGGCCTGAGAGACCTGTTGCGTGAGTCACTTCCTCTCTGTGGGCCTCAGTTTCCCCCTCTTTGGAGGGTTTTTTCTTTTGCGGTGCTGGGGATGGAACCTCGGGCCTCCATACACCAGACAAGCCTCTACCCGTGAGCTACCCTCCAGCCCCCTGAGAGCTTCTTAATTAGGTCCTTCGTTTTCTGACCTTTGAGGTCTTGAGCTACAGGGAATCAGGGAATCATGGAGGACAGAAGCAAACTCAGAAATTCAGAGAGGAGTAGCTCAGAGGGAGAGCACTTGCCCAGCACGCATCAGGCCCTGGGTTCCCTGCGCACCACCACCAAAAAAAAAAAAAAAAAGTAGGAGAAGAAGGAAAAAAGAGAGAAAGGTGATGACCATCAGAGGCTCACCCACCCCATCCTCAAATTTTCTGAGACTAAAAGGCAGGCTGAGGAAGAGAACCAGAAATCCATTCACTCATTTGATGAGACATCGAGGGAAGGAGGACGGGGGCGGGGGGGGGGGTGTCGTCACTGCATACAGAAAGACTGAGCCTGGACAGCAGGGTCCCCACCTGCTCAGTCACCACAGGCTCCTCAGCATCCTCCAGGCCAGGCCCAGGACAGGGAGGGGCTTGTTGCATGAAACGTGGAACAGGAAGACAGTTCCCAGGGACACAAACACTGAGACACTGAACAGGAAAGCTGGATTTGAAGGGTCAAGGGGGCCTAGATCCCTTGTCCCTCCTCTAACCTTGGTAGATGTCCTGGAGAGAGCCAGCCCCACAGAATTCCATGCAGATCCAGAGCTTCTGCAACCTATGAAAGTTCAAGAGGTAACTATATTATTATTTATAGGAGAGAGCCCCTGGTACACTGTCTTGTTCTAGTTCAATTAGAACTTGAACGTACGGGTGTCATCTGTCTCCCCTTGCCCACCAGAGTAAGACTGTTTCATTCCCATTTTACAGAGAAGGAAATTGGGGGTCAGACAGGAAATCTGTTTTCTGGACAATTCCATTTGGACCTAAGTCTTTGGGCTTCAAATCCAGGGCACCCTTCTGCTGTCCTAGGCTTTCTGAGAAGACAGAGCTGAGATGCAGGTTGTGGAGGCTTGGATGGGACAGACAGGCCCAGGGTGTCAGATCTGGGGAACTGAGGTCATTATTGGGGCAGCAGAGACATTATTTTGGAGGTCAGAGAATTTAGGGGTTCATATTAAAGGAGAAGAATAAAACTGGGGAACCCAAAGGGCAGAATGATGAGAGATTTATTTGAAGGCAGTTGATTTCAGATATGGTTAATACGAAGGGATCAATTTGGGGGACCCTGAGTCAGAAATGGGAGTTCTGGATTTGGAATTAAGTTAGGAGTGACCTGGTCAGAGACTTTGGTCTGGGGATCAACCTAGGGAGTGCTCCAATTAAAAGTGGGAGTCCAAGATTGTAGTCAGGTTAGGGTATCTGGGTCAAAGTGGAAGTTAGGACAGGGGATGAGGTTAGCGGGTGTCTAATCAGAAGTGAAGACTCTGAGTTAGGGGCTGGGCTGGGTCCCTGAGGTTAATCACCAGAGGTAACTGCCATGGTAGGCCACGATGTTGGCATGCCGGCAAGTTTTCAACATGAGGATTTCCTTCTGAAGGGTGGACACATCATCATCTGCAAGGAGAGGCAGGAGAAAAAGGTGGCTTCAGACAGAGAGTCACTGGAAGGGAACAGGACCCCCCCAGCCGGTGGGGGTGGGTTGGGGAAGGAGTTTCTGGGTCCCCTCTCACCAGGCTCCATCTTCACCATCTTCAGTGCTACCAGGTCTCCGGATACCTTGTCTCGAGCCTGGAAAAGGGGAAGTTGGCTCTCAGGCGCCTCCATCACTGAGTCCTTCTCAATATCCCTCCACAAGGCCAAGGACTGCGACCCTCTTGCACCCTATCCCTTATTGATTCTCAACCTAAAGATCACTGGTTTGAGGATGATGGAGACCAAGGGGCTTCCTCACCTTGAAGACTTCCCCATAGGTGCCGCCACCCAGCCGTTGCAGCAGGTCATAATGGTCCCGGGGATCCTTGTTAAAGATGTCGGGGTCCACGAGCTCCATCCCTGGAGGCCTGAGCTAGGCCTGCGCCCAGGGGCCAGCAGGGCCTCAGGGCTGGAGCTAGGAGCGCTGGCACCTCCCTCCCTCCCCACAAGCCCTGCTCCCGCCTTGCCTCTGAGGGCTGTGGCCTTCCCCCTCCCCACTCTCGCTTCCTGCCCTAGCTGCAGAACTGTGCAACGGGCTCCACCCCCCTGTCCCCTGGGCCCTCAGATCCTGGGGACCCATGGGACCCCCCTTTTCACCTCTATGGCCCAGGGCTGGATGTAAATGAGATGCAAACAGTCTTGATTCTACTGAGGGCACCCCCTGCTCCCGTTCTGGGTGGGGCTACAAACCATAGTGGAACTCTGCTGGGTGCTTGAAAGTTTGACCACAACGCAGAGGTTGCAGGTCTGCATAGGAAGGCTACATAGCTCACATGCTGTTCACCTTTAAAGTACATGCATTTAAAAGTGTCAGCTCCTGCATGCCCATGGCGGTGCAGGGGCAGTGCACATGCCTGAATACCCGTGTGTACACATGTGTATGTCCTCACAGCACATACACTCACTCATTCCTGGTACATGTCTGTGCATTCACGCCTGCAGTGCACAGAATCAGTACACAAACAATTCATGACGGCACACATGGGGCTGTCGCCTCTGTCCCCAGTCTGGAGCCTAACGGAGACTGGGCTCGATCCCTAATTTCCCGGCAGAGCACAATAGCTTTATGGTTCCATACTCATGGAATTGGGGTGGAAGGTGGGGACAAGGGTCCAGGACTTGAAACTGGGGAGGTCTGCAAGCTGGATCCGGCCTCCGGGGCCCAAGCCTGAGGCAAGAAGGATTTTCAAGAGCATTTCCATAGGGAGTTGGCCATGGCTCAAATGGAGGGCTACTATGTTTGTGAGATTACGGTGCGCAACTCAACGTGCGCGCGCGCCGTCGGAAGCTCGGTCTCCTTTCCGAAAAATTCGTGCACGCGCGCGTCCCAGGCTTGGGACTGGGTCCTGCAAACCAGGGAAAGCTTAGCCCCGCCTAGTGCCCCAGAGCAAGCGCCTGCGCTTTGCGGTAGACTAAGCTTTTTCTCACGCTGTTGGCTCTCCGCCGGGTGGAGCGAGTGCGCACGCGCCAATTACGCCTTCTGGGAAGAAATCACGTGGCAGCCGGAAAGCGTGGCAGCTGCCGGAAGAGCCTTCCCCTTCTTCGTTGTCCGGCTCTGGAGCGAGAGCAATGACGTAGTTTCCGTTTCCACTACCTCTTCCTCTTCCGGTCCTCGCGGGTGCTGCTCCGGGCTGGTGTTCCACTCCGGCGGTGGTTGTGGAAGGCGCCCGGAGTCATGGCCATGTTTGAGCAGATGAGAGCGAACGTGGGCAAGTTGCTCAAGGGTATCGACAGGTCGGAGCTCGGTCGGAGGGAGCGCTGTAGCCAAGCGGGGTGGAGATTTCCGGAGACCGCAAGGGGTGGTCCGAGTTCTGGGCTTGCCTTGGCCGGGATTTCTCCGTCTTTCGGCATGTGGGGAGGTCGTCCTGGAGGAGGTGTTGAAGGGAAAGGCACCGGAAAGGCCTAACAAGAGAGCCTGTCGCCCACGCATCTCTTTGATTACTTTAAAGTTTCCCCTCCTCTCCCTCGGCCGTCCCTCTTTCAGCCCCCCGCAGTTTCCTCTACCAGCTCCTCGGTCTCAGTGCCCGAGCATTTCTTTCTCCTCTGCCCCTCATGTCATTCATTCAACACTGTTTACCGACCTTCGTTGTGTTAGTGCTCAGTAGTGTTAGAAACCAGAGGCGACCAAGACAGCCACAAGTCATGCTTTCATGAACTGAGTTCTCCTTCCAGAGGGGACACCAGCAACAAGCACTGACAGCCAGGAGTGGTCAAGGCTAGGCAGGGGAAAGCAAAGGCCCAAATCTTCAGGGCTGATATAGAGGAAGCTAGGCACCCACCCCGGCAGGAGAGGATGGTTTGGACTGGTGGGAGCTTGACAGGGTTGGGTAGCAGAGAATTTCAGAAGACTATGTATACAGGCAACAGTGACTGCCTGGCAAGTTGGGAAACGTGCTAGACAAGCCCCAGGGCTCCAGTGGGGTTTAGAGCTCAGGCAAGAGGTGTGGGTTATGGACAGGTTTTATTAGAGGTTATAAAGCTGACTTGCTATTTGGGTAGAGCCAGTGGCCAGGACCAGATTCAGAGGGGAAAGGAAGGAGAAGCAGATTACAGTGGTCCCTTGGCCCTACAAAGGGACTGGCCTCAGCTCCTGTCTCCTCTTTATTCACCCACTTCAATTCTCCTCTAGGTACAATCCAGAGAACCTGGCCACCCTGGAGCGCTATGTGGAGACCCAGGCCAAGGAGAATGCCTATGATCTGGAAGCCAACTTGGCTGTCCTGAAATTGTGAGTGTCCTGTCCCTATCCCCATGCTGTTGGCTGGCTAGCAGGGTTCCATTCCCAGTATGGGGCATGGCAGTAGGGGTGTCTGGAATAGCCTGCAGGATGTGGCTTCTCTTTGGTGTGCAAGACTAGCAAGCCAAGAAAGATGAGACATTTGGGGTGAGGGAAGTTTAAAAAAAAATTAGTTGCAAAACACATACAAGGTAGTACATAAAACACACTTAGTTTAACGGATGTGAATGAACACCCAGGTTTCCATTGTTCGTGTTGTGTAACTGTTGGAAGCACCATAGGCCCTTTGTCCATATGCTCTGTCCCAACCAAACCCCCACCTTTGGTAACCATTGTCATAGTCTCATGGTGTGGCTTTGCATGGTTGTTTTCCACACATGCTTGCATCTGGATCCACTTAGCTCAGTTTTGCTTGCTTTGACCTTGACAGGTCCATAATCATACAGCAGGGCCCCTTTTGCACCTAGTACCTTCCACCAAGCGTTGGGTTTGTGACACCCATCCATTTGTGTGTGTGTGGTTGCAGTTTATTGTCATTGTTGTGTAGTGTTCCACTGTGTGACTGTCCTAATGGCCTAATGATCTGTTCCTTGTTGATGGTTCTTCTCCCTCAGGTGATTTTTTTTCTTTTTTTGACAACTATCAGCTTCTAATTTTTGTAGATGACATAACTTTAGTTTTCCTGGCTGTAAAATGGAGAGACCACTTATATTCGTGGGTGGTTTAGGTTGTTACTGGTGATTGCCACTTGTGAACGAGTGCTCGCCACGTGTCGGCTGCTGTGCTGCGGATGCAGGCACGAGCCCACTGCTGGGCCGTCCTGGGAGGCTGATATGGGTTCATCTTATTTTTGTTTGTTTTTACACCAGGAATTGAACCCAGGGCTCACAGGCTAAGCACACACACTACCGCTGAGCTACACCTTCAGTTTTGTCCTCTATTGAAAGAAAACTGAAGCACAGAGAATTTGAAATAGGCAGTCCAAGGCCAGGCAGTGGGAGTTGGGAGAGGGAGCCTGGGGCGGAGCCATAACCACTGCTCCACATTGTTCCTTCTAGCCTTGATTCATTTACTTTTATTTATTTATTTATTTATTTTTGACCACTGAGAATTGAAACCAGGGGTGCTCTTCTACTAGCCCTTTTTATTTTTTATTTTGTGACATTAGAATTTTACTAAGTTGCTGGGGCTGAACTTGAACTTGTCGTCCTCCTGTCTTAGCCTCCAGAGTTGCTGGGATCATAGGCATGAGCACCGTGCCAAGCTTGCTTCTAGCCTCATTTCTTTGTGAGGCTCGTGGCTGTGTCTGCCCTGTGGGGTGGTGCCGGGTTTCTGTTCTCGTGACTAAAAGGCTCAGGGGTCACTCTAGTTAAACTGGGCTAACTGGGCTGCACGAAATAACCACACAAGAGACACAAATACCTTTTTCTTTGGGGTTGCTGTGACGGCTCCTCTGACCTTAAGGGTCCGCAGAAAAAGAGAGAGAGAGAGCACGCGCTGACCCCTTTTATTGAGGAGAAGCTATTCAAATGAGGCAAGGGGTCAGGTTTCAGGGGGCTGAGTCTATCTTCATGATGTCCACTGTCAGCAGGTTGACTGACACCTGGGTAGGCCACACCCAAGGGCACAGTAAGAGGAGGGGACACACACAAGGCACTTCCATGGAAGATTCTATCCTAAACAGGGCAAGGGGTTATATTACAAAGGAATAGGTGAGCATAGCTTCACCCATGGGGCTGTAGCAAGACACACCCATTTCTGTGACTGAGCGCCTCAGCACCCAGCTGGGGAGTGTAACTCAGTCACCGGTAAGGTTGGCCTCCCACAGGGTGGTTGTGAGGATCAACTATCCCCATCTCCAGAGCAGGCAGAGTTGCTCAGGGAGGTTAGCCAGAAAATGTGGTTGGGGTTGGAGCCCAGGCAGGTTTGACCCCAGGCTCCAGACTAAAGCAGTGGCCTCCTGCCTGGCACTTGGTGAAGTTTGGGGGGTTGGAGTTGTCACCACTGTTGTATATCTTATTCCCTTCTTAGGTACCAGTTCAACCCAGCCTTCTTTCAGACCACCGTCACTGCCCAGATCCTGTTGAAGGCCCTCACCAACCTGCCCCACACAGACTTCACCCTGTGCAAGTGCATGATCGACCAGGCACACGTATCCTTTGGTTGGGAGTGGAGGTGGGAGGCAGAGCCTGCAGAGTGGTCTGTGAGTTCAGACTCAGCTGCTGGGCAGGGCTGGGACATTGCCATGACTGAGATGGGCCCTGCCCTCGTGAAGCTCTCATAGTCCAGTGAGGTGACAGGCAGGTCCCCCATCAGTGACAGGCTGGAGCTGTCAGGGGCAGGGTGAGTGAAGCCAGCAGAGGCACCTGGCCCTGACTGGAGGGAACCCGTGAAAGCTAGGTGGATGGGCAGTGAGGGCGATCCCGGAAAGGCCTAAAGGAATGAAATAGCTCCTTGCTGTCCTTTAGAGACAGAAGAAGCAGCGGCACCTAGGACAGCACAGATTTCAGTGGAATGCAGCCAGGGTCCAGGGCACGTGAAGAGCTGTACAGCCGCAGGCTGCTGTGGTCAGATTTATGCCAGCTGCATAGAGGACACTGGGTGAGAGGCAGGAGGGCCTGGCCGGGCTCACAAGGAACTGTATTGTCAGCTCTGAGCGCAGGAACTTAATGTACATGTATCCTTAGGAATGTCGAGTGGAAATAACACCCTTGCACTGGTTGGTGTCTGCTCCGGGGCTTGGCCAGGTGAGCTTCAGCTTACATTTGATCACTGGACAAACTCAGCAGAATCCCCAACCCCTGCCTGGCGAGGCAGGTGGACCCGTGGGCCCAGCCCTCATACTCGCCTGCTCATCGGTTGTTGAGCCAAGAGATGGCAGATGACTCATTGAACTTACTCTGGTAGCTGAGTCTAAAGTGTCCATAAGATGTGTCCATAAGCCTTGACTCGATCCCAGTATGTGGCAGACCACAGTTTACTGTGTTGTCCCCACTGTTGGACCCTTGGGTTGTTTCTCACCTTTGAATCTTACAAACAGGGCTACAGTGGCAGGGTGGCTTGTGCCTATAATCCCAGCATCTTGGGAGGCTGAGGCATGAGGATCACAAGTTTGAGACCAGCCTCAGGAACTTAAGCCCTGAGCAACTTAGTGAACCTCTGTCTTCAGTAAAAAGGCTTGGGGATGCCAGTGCCCCTGGTTTAATCCCCAGTACCAAAAAGGAAAACAAGAAACAGTGCTTCCGTAACACCCTTTCTTCTCCATACATCCACAGCAAAAATAAGATGGCCTCGATTCCCTGTTCTGTTTCTTTTTTTTTTTTTTTTTTTTTTTTTTATTTATTTTTTAGTCTTCGGCAGACACAACATCTTTATTTGTATGTGGTGCTGAGGATCGAACCCAGGCCGCACACATGGCAGGCGAGCGCGCTACCGCTTGAGCCACATCCCCAGCCCCCTGTTCTGTTTCTGAGCTGTCTTTGGTAGAAGGGGATGGCTGAGGGGAGAGGGTGACCAGGATTTAGTCATGCAGGCTCCAGGACCTTTTTCCTTAATGCTTCCTTCTGCTAGCAAGAAGAGCGGCCCATCAGGCAGATTTTGTACCTCGGGGACCTGCTGGAGACCTGCCATTTCCAGGCCTTCTGGGTAAAGAGGGGCCCAGGGCAGGGTGGTGGCTGGCCCTGTGGTGCACATTTGTTGCTTGTCTGCTTGGCGAAGGGCCCTGTCCTCAGCGCTTGTCCTCATGGAGCCAGGTCTCAGATGGCCCCTGTGCCCACAAGGCTTGGCCTGAGCCTGTCCCCTTCTCCTGTCCTTCCACTGGGCCTTCTAGTACAGTCCCTCGGTCGTTAGCAGAAGTCCTCCAGCTCCTCACCTGCTCTCAGTGCCCGCCCCTCTTTCCTGTGGCATCCAGAGCTCAGCCCTCACAAACAGCCTCCAAGTGGGAGGCTAGGTCGCCTCCTTGCTCCTCACTGCGTCTCCCAGAGCCGGTTCCCTGCTCCTCAAAATCGCTGCTCCAAGTTCTGAGGCTCCCATCTTCCCTGCCTTGTTGGTAGCAGCCCTCTGGGTGACTGCGCCTCATTTCTTAAAGAATCTAGTCCTCCTCACTGCCACTCCTACTGCTCCTGATTCTGCAATGTTTGAAAACCCTCACAGGCTACCCACTGACACCAGCCTCTAGGTTCCATGATTTATTTTAGATTTTATATATATATATATATATTTAGTTGCTGATGGACCTTCATTTCACGCATTTATTTATATGTGGTGCTGAGGATCCAGCCCAGGGCCTCCTCCATGCTGGGCAACGCTCTGCCATGAGCCCCAGCCCGCCGTGACCTCTTGTCCTCCTGGCTCATCTTCCACCCGAGAGGAGCTGTGGTCATGGCTGTGCCAGCTCTTCTCAGCATGCAGAGCCTCTGAGGAGGTTTGAAGTGGGAATGCGGGTGTGACCCGGGCTTTAGGATTCTGAGGGGCTACCCAGGAGGTGCCACATGGAGCAGAGCCTGGGAGCCGCTGCCTTTGACTTGTCCTGACCAAGGATTGCTCCTGAATTCACTCCACCCCCCGGCCACCTCCTCCAGCCCCAGCTCACCCTGTGAGTTCTCCCACCGACACCTGGGCCTGACCAGTGCTCTGGGCCTGCTTGGGCTGCTCAGGTTCTGCTCCCTTCTCTGAAATGGCCACCTACCCTGCGCAGCCGCATCTGAAGTGATGAATGGCTGAGAGAAACGCCAGGGGCGCGTGACTCCTGGGAAGGCACGGGTCCTCAGACCTTCCGAGTGACCTCGTTCCTGCCCCGCTTCCTCTCCTGGGCTCGCGGACCTCCCTTCACACGTCCCCTTCTCACCCCTTTCCCACCTCAGCTCATGGTCTGGTTTCTTGTCTTGTGAGAAATAGAAATAGAGCGGAGCAGAGCTCACGTGTTTTCCCAGACCCTGACGCCAGAGTGACTTAGTGCGTAACTGCCGTTTCAGCAGGTGAAGTGGCTGAGGCGACCCTCCTCTAAAGCATGGGGACCCCTTCCCCTTGCCACACCAGCCCTTCCCGACTCCTCAAACAAGAACCTGCCCTTCCTGGGTTGTTTATTTTGAGACAGGGTCTCACTGAGTTGGCAGGGTGCCCTTGAGCTTGGAACCCTCCTGGCCCAGACTCCCGGGTTGCTGGGGTTAGAGGCATGTGCCACTGTACCCAGCTCTTCCCTGGTTTTAAAACCAAAAATCCCTAGCAAGCCTCCTGCGTGCCGGGTCTTCGTGGCCCCGTGCGTTCCCGCAGCGCTGGCCAGAGCAGTGCTGAGGTGGTTTAAGGCCTCGGCCTGCTTCGTCCAGAGCAAGGTCATGGAAGTTTTCAGACAATTCTCTGCTAAAAACAAACAAAATGAAAAGTCTCCTGTCTCAGGAAACTCATTTCAAATAAGTGAGTCAGTCCCGGGGGTCACCTGCTTGTGGGAGAGGCTCCTGTGCTCCGGGCCTCCTTCACCCCTGTTCACGTGGCCCCGCTCTAGTCAACCCACTCAGGCCTTTGTCACCTCACGCCCACCCCCAGTGTGCACACACGCCCCTTGAAGCTGCGTGTCACTGAGTCCGGTAAGCCAGCGCCAGGCCTGTGTCACCCGCCCCGTCGGCTGTCCCTGGCGCTGGTGGTCGCACTCCTCTCCCTGGAACCCTTGTCATCTGGCTCCCAGTACAGCATCCTCCTGGTTTTCCTCCTGCCTCATGGCTGCTCCTCCCTTCTCAGGGTTTGTGGGGCTCTTCTTTTCTCCCACTCCTGTTGGAGGAAGCCCTCGATGAAGAAGTGACATTTGAGCAAAAACCTGCAGGAGGCAGGAGGGCCAGCTGTGGAGGAGGAAAGTTCCAGACAAACAGCAATGCAAAAGGCCTGAGGCGGGGAGGGGTGTTGGGAGCAGCGAGGAGGTGCCTGCGAGTGGGTGGGGGGGTGGGGTGAGCGAGCACCCTGTGGGCCTCCTGAGCCTTGGTTGAAAGGTTGGCTTTTTCCCTATGACAACGGCCAGGACAGGTAAGGAGTATAGGTAGCTACCCTGTGTCTGGCTTCTGCCTGGATCATTTCTCGGCTGAGTCCTCCTGGTCTCCATGTCTGGAATGGGCCTAAGAACAGTGACATCCCACATGTTGCATGTGGCGGGGTGGCAGTGTGTAGGTCAGTGCTCGCGTGTTGGTGGCTGCTGCCATCCTTAGGGACACTGACACTGTGCTTGCCGTCCCTCCCCTGCAGCAAGCCCTGGATGAAAACATGGACCTCTTGGAAGGTATAACTGGCTTTGAAGACTCTGTCCGGAAGTGTAAGTCCTTTTCTGAGCCTGGGCTCTGTACGGTGAGGGCTGGGGAGTGGCGACGGTCCCTCTCCATCATTCCCTCTCATCCACAGTTATCTGCCACGTCGTGGGCATCACATACCAGCACATTGACCGCTGGTTGCTGGCCGAGATGCTCGGGGATCTGACAGGTAAGACCTCTGGATCCCTTGTGTCAATCTGGGGGTTTGGGGGTGGTCAGGGCAGTGGGCTTCCGCCAACTCCAGCCTCTCTGGGTCATTACTGGAGGTGCAGCCCAGGGAGGATGCAGCGCCTGGTGTTGGTGGTTCCCTTCCTCGGGGACACCCTGTGCCACTCAGTCCCTCTGTATCCACTGGTCGAGTGCCAACTTTGTGCCAGATTTTGTTTAGAATCTGGTCACGTGACAATGAACAAAACAGAAGGGCTCAGGTTCGTTTTCAAGGAGGGAGCATGTGTGTGTCCGGTGGCCATTCATGCTGCAGAGGACAGCAGCCTGCTCACGGGGCAGCTGAGAGCAGACTGGACAAGGGGCTCGGGAGCAGCGGCCTGCCTGTCGTTCACAGGGCAGCCTGGGCACTGTGGGCCAAAGCAGAGTGACTGGGTATAGAGGGGTCGTGAGGGCAGAGAGGTGGTTAGAGGGGCATCTGCAGCCCGTGCAGGGTCTCAGGATGAGTGTCTCCTTGTTCTTGAATGAAATAACCATAGATAGGAACCTCTGAGCAGGGAGCCGTGATCAGATCGATGTTTTTAAAAGATCCCCCCAAAAATGCAGGAAGGGAAGATACGAAACTAAGGGGGTGATCACATCTGGGAGAGGAGGCAGGGGCAGGGAAGAGAGGTGAGGGTGGGTTGAGTCTTGGGAGAATCTTCTTGTGGAATTTTTGCCTTTAGATGTAGGTTGTGTGTGTCTTTTTTTTTTTTTTTTTTTCCCAGTGGGAGCTAATTTTGCTGGACATTTTATGTTTGGCACATGCTAAATGCATCAGATAGGTGTTTTGCATATTTAAAAGTAAAATTAAAATTTGGGTGTTGTGGTGGGCACCTGTAGTCTCGGCTACTTGAGAGGCTGGGGTATCATCCTTTGAAGCCAGTCCAGGCAACATAGCAAGGCACAGTCTCTTAAAAAAAAAAAAAATGCTGGAAGTAGTGGCCCACACCTGTAATCTCAGTGACTTGGGAGGCTGAGGCAGTAGGATCGAAAGTTCAAGGCCAGCCTCAGCAATTTAGTGAGACTCTAAGCAACTTAGTGAGACCCTGTTACACACACACATAAAAAAGTGGCTCAGTGGTTAAGCACCCCTGAGTTCAATCCCTGGTACCTCCCCCACCGCCCCACAAGAAAAAGAATATGAAACAATTTGGGATTTAATATAAGGAGGATTAGGTGAATCTATCAAAACACTAATAGTTCCACAGAAATCATTTAACATAATTGAACCCCACTGTAGCAGCACCTGTACCAGCATATTTTCTTTTTATGGTGCTGGTGGTTTAAACCAGAAGAACCTTTCCATTGAGCTTCACCAACCCTTCTTTATTTTAATTTGAGGTGGACTCGCTGTGTTAACGAGGCTGGCTTTCAAACTTGTGATCTTCCTGCCTCAGCCTCCCCAGCCACTGGGACTAGTATGCCTCACCGTACTGGTGTATTTTCTTAGGGCCCAAAAGACTTATTGTTAGTGATGATGATATAGTTTTGCAACCATTTTGTCTATTCTGTGGCAAAAAGCAGATAAGTAAATATACTGCTCTTATTAAGAACCAGGACTGGCCCTGGGAGAGAAGGGCCAGACAGGAAAGAAGTGAAGACAGAAATCTCCAATGGGAAGGAGGCAGGGCTGAGGGCGCCCTCTGGCTGCTGTGTAGGGAATGAGCCACAAAAGGGCAGGGTGGCAGCAAGGAGACCCACCTGGCTTCTCTGCTGGCCAGAGATGGCAGGCCTGGCCAGGCAAGGAGGGAGCCCTGGCCTGGTAGCCTTGATTCCCGTGCCTCCCACACCCCATGTTACTGTGGGGTCCAGCTGGCTCACACCGTTTGTGCTCCTCGCAGACAATCAGCTAAAGGTGTGGATGAGCAAGTACGGCTGGAGCGCCGACGAGTCGGGGCAGATCTTCATCTGTAGCCAAGAGGAGAGCATTAAGCCCAAGAACATTGTGGAAAAGATTGACTTTGACAGTGAGTAGTGGCCCAGGGTCTCGGCTGTGGGGCTCAGGGGGCATCCTTTGACAGACACTGGAATGGGGCCCCGAAACCCAGGTAGAGCTGTTCTTGTCCAGGGCCGGAGAACTCATGTCTGCCACGCTCCTTTGATCTGTCCAGGGGCTGCCCACCCAGCGAGGCGCGGCCACATGATGCCAGCTGGCCTTCCTTGGTGCATGCAGGTGACTCCACACCTGCTGGCCCCAGGGGCTCTGTCCCTTTGGCTTTCCCTTGTCTCTGGGGTTCTGGGGGCCTCCCAGGCAGGCTCTTGAGTCAGGTGAGCTGAGTGGAAATCTGGGGTCTCTACTGAACAGCAAACTTGGGGCGACCTGACCGCTTGTGCCTCTATTTTCTTATGTAAAAAATGGGACGACAGGGCTGGGTTGTGGCTCAGTGGTAGAGCGCTCGCCTAGCATAGGCAAGGCCCTGGTTCCATCCTCAGACCACATAAACAAAGACAGCTATCGTGTCCATCTGCAACTAAAAAAAATTCTTTAAATGGAGGTGACAGCAACAATAATTAGGAAAAACACTGTCGTTTTTTACACTTAAGCCATTTGCTCCTCACATCAGCCCTCTTATAATTGGCTGAGCAACATTGTGACTTTCACCTTGCTCACCCCACGCACAGGAGGCGAGGTAGCAGAGAGCCAGGCATTCAGTCCAGAGCGTGTTAAGTTCGTCACCGCCAATACACACACACACCACACACACACACCACACACACGAGGAACAGCCTCATCTGTGCAGAGCACGGGGGCTGCTTTCTTGGGCCCGAGTCTCCTCCCAGCTCCTACATGTGCTTCTGTTGGTTTAGCCATGGGAGTTGGTACAGTGTGGCTTCTCCATACCAACCCGCTAATTTGGAACTGAATGAAGTGGCATTGAGTGACCGCCCTCTCTGTGCCGCGATCGGGGACCCTCACCTCTTAAGGTGATGCACCACTGGGTTGGAGTCTGAAGATCCAGGCCGAAGTTCGTGTGGTGGGGAGCCACAGGCTGTGCAGTGTGTGGAGAGCACACGGTCAATACCGCGACAGCGACACCCCAATGATATCAGGCGTGGTTCCAAGCACTTTTTTTTTTGGTACCGGGATTGAACTCAGGGGCACTTGACCACTGAGTCACATCCTAGCCCTATTTTGTATTTTATTAGAGACAGGGTTTCACTGAGTTGCTTAGTACTTCACTTTGCTGAGGCTGGTTTTGAACTCACGATCCTCAAGAGGCGTGCACCACTGCATCCAGCCCACAAGGACTTCTTTTAACGTGATAGTCCTGTTGAATAGGCCCTTCTTTTTTTGTAGATGGACACAATACTTTTATTTATTTTATGTGGTGCTGAGACTTGAACCCAGTGCCTCACACATGCTAGGCAAGCGCTCTGCCAATGAGCTACAGTTCTAGCCCAAGGATAGGCCCTTCTTACAGATGGGGAAACTGCTGCACAGAGATGTTATGTAACTTGCCCAAAGTCACCCAGCTGTTAATAGTCGAGCTGGGGTTTTAACCTAGGCCTCTCTGCTTCACAGTCCTGTTTTGTTTTCTTTTGTTTCTTTTTTTTTTAAGGTTTATTTTTTTAGTTGTAGGTGGACACAATATTTTTATTTATTTTTTTGTGGTGCTGAGCATCAAACCCAGGGCCTCGCACGTGCTAGATGAGTGCTCTGCCTCTGAGCTGGAACCCCAAACCCAGAAGATGACTGTGATCTGCCCCTGAAGGATTAGTGACGCCGGGGTGGTAGCTGGAAGTTTGCCTCCCTTGGTTCCCAGGTTGACCCCGGTGTCCTTTCTTTTCTCAACAGGTGTGTCCAGCATCATGGCCTCCTCCCAGTGACTGCCAACATTTAATAAAGATGTGTTGACCTAGCCCTGCCCTGCCTCCTCCCTGTATGCTTCCTGTCTCTGCCTGGCCCTCCAGGGGAGTCCAGGGGGAGGCCTCTGCCCTGCCTGCAACCTGTGGCCTTCCTCCTCTTTTCTTACCTCCCTTTTCTCCCCCCTTGACTTCCTCCCTGGCCCCACCCCAGCAGCGAGCTGGCCACCCACCCCCACCTTCCTGACCTGTCAGGTCTCTGTGGGGAGGGCGAGGTGAGTCAGCCAGGAGGGGAGGGTGTGCATGGCTGTGGGCGCCCAGCCCTGCAGCCCAGGGAAGCTCTCTCTCCACATCCTGGCTTGCTCTGCGTCCTTGGGCCAGTGCCCTGTCTAATCCCCAATTTCCTCATCTGGAAGAATGTGCCCTCTGCTGGCCTCGGGCGGGACTCAGGCGCTCTCTCCAGTGAAGGTCTTAAGCCAGGGCCCGCGGTCTTGCTGGGAGAGCGGGAGCCAGTGTTCATTTCAGACTCAGAAAGGGTTTGTCACCAAGGTTGCAAACTATTCCTCAGCACCTTCTGTGGGGAGAGACTTCATCAGACATTTGGGACTTGCTCCTCAGAGCAAAGTGTCAGAGCCAGGCAGTCATCCTCCCCAGTCATGTCACTTAATCCCTAGCAGAGTGACTTTCATTCTCGCGGAACACACAGGCGTTGCAGGTATTCTGGCAGTGACCAGCCGCCCTGAGCCTGTCCTGGGGAGGTGGAGGAACTAAAATTCCGTGGTGGTGATCCAGCCTCAGGGGAGACACAGAGCCATCTTGCCTGTGAGCTTTGCCTGCAGAGAGGCAGCAGGGCACCAGCGCTTGGCTACCCGGCCCTCTGCATTTCTCCTAGGGCCCTGTCCTGGGGAGCGAGGGTGGGGCTGGCACCTTTGCCCCAGGTTCCAGACCTGTGCAGGCACCAGGAACTAGGAAGTGTCCTGACCCTGGGGACACAGTGAACGTTTGCTTATGCAACTTGTGGAGCCAGGAGGGGGATGAAAGAGGACTGGGAGGTACCCCCACCCACAAGACAGTGCAGATTATTCAGATACCCCTCCTGTGTGGGGACAGGCACCTACTTGGCAGGTGCCATCATGTAGGAGACATGTAAATCTGGCCATGGCCACTCTGCATGAGGAGAACGAAGGACCTTGCCGTCTGACGTGGTTAACACCTGTAATCCCAGTGACAGAAGGCTGAAGCTGGAGGATCACAAGTCAAGGCCAGCCTCAGCAATTTAGTGAGGCCCATAGCAATTTAACAGATTTTAAAAGATAATTAGGGCTGGGGATGTATTTTAGTGGTACAGCACCCCTCGGTTCAGTCCATAGTACCAAAAAAAAAAAGGAATGACCTTCAGAAGCTGTGTCAGGCCTGCTCTCACTCCACCTCCACGGGGCGTCTTCTGAGCAGCTGATAGTAGCTAAAGACTGCCTAGGCTCAGACTCAAGCCTCGTGGCTTTGGGCATGTTGGTTCATCTCTCCCGTGCCTCAGTTCTATGCCTGGGGTTTGTGCCCCTTCTCAAGTTGTGAATTAACGCCTCCAAAGAGTTCAGGACAGACTTGGCACCTAGGAGAGATCATAAACATATCGCTGTCTCCAAATTCCATTCTGGTGATTGTTCCTGTGTCTGCTTTGGCTCGGGGCTGCTGTTCTAGCTGCAACAGTGGCGTGGAGGCTGGGCCCTGTGGTCCACCTCTAATCCCAGCAGTCTGGGAAGCTGAGGCAGGATTGTAAGTGCAAGGCCATCTGGGCAATTTAGTGAGACCCTGTGTCAAAGGGTTTGGGCACACCTGTAGTCCCAGTGGCTCAGGAGGCTGAAGGAGGATTGCGAGTTCAAAGCCAGCCTCAGCAAAACGGAGGCACTAAGCAACTCAGTGAGACCCTCGCTAAATTCAAAATAGGACTAGGGATGTGGCTCAGTGGTTAGGGAGCCCCTAAGTTCAACCCTGGTTAAAAAAAAAAGTGGGGTTGTATTCAGTAGAGAACCATGGATTTGATCCCTGATATTGCAATAACGATGACAATGGCAAAAAATTGTTTTTTACAGGAGCTGGGAGTGTAGCTCAGTGGTAGAGTACAGGCTTGGCATGTATGAGGCCTAAGGTTTGGTCCTCAGCACCAAAAAAGCCACACAGCAATGGTTATGGAACAGCATTAGTTCTGACTGAAGTCTCAGTGGTATAGAAATGGAGAACTAAAGCCCCTTCTGGCCCCTTGGATCCCCCCTCCCTGGGACCTTTAGACATGCCAGCTGTTACCACTACACTGTCCGCAGATGGCTGCCAGGTGTAGCCTCAAGGCCGGCAATCAGAGGACCTCACTGACCGGGGTTACCTGCTCCAGCTCTGGGCCTTTGGTCTGGGAGGTTTCAGTATCCACCATGAGCAGGTAGGGAGAGACTGGTGGCTCTGCACCTGAGGGACATCCCTGTCCCCGACCTTCCTCACCAAGATCGGTGCCAGAGTCCTGAGTTAAAATGAGGCAGGTGGAGGCTGCCCCGCCCCAGCCCAGCTTGGGGAGCAGCAAAAAGGCCTGGGAGCTTCGGCCAGGTGCTGCATCCCCTGGGAAAACAAGCCGCAATTGGGGCTGCTTACTGTTGGTGTCCTTCACATGCCTGTGGAACAGGGGAACAGGATCCCTGAAGCTCCTATACCTGGGGAAGCCCTGTCTTCTAATCCCTATCCCCAAGTAATTGGACTTGGACAGAATCCCTTCCTATCACACAGTATATGTTCATTGGTGCTGGGAATTGAACTTGGGCACTTGACTGCTGAGCTACATCCCTAGTCCTTTTTATTTTTATTTTGAGACAGGGTCTTGCTAAGTTGCTGAGGGTCTCATTAAATTGCTGAGGCTGGCCTCATACTTGCGATCCTCCTGCCTCAGCCTCCCAAATGACTGAGTTTACAAGGCATGTGCCACCACACTCAGCTCATTTTCAGTTCTTTGTTGTAGTTTAACTCAAATACCTCACCTTCCCAACAGCCATTCCCCTCATTTCCTTCCTACTTCAATAAAGTTCACACTTGGTTGCATACTTCCCTGTTTGCTCAGGTCCCAAACCTGGAAGCTGCCCTGATTCTCCCAACAAAGCCAAATATATGGCAGTATAATAAGCTTCACTTTCCCAGATCTTTCCATGTCTCCCTCTATGGCATTGTGCTCTGGCCCTAGTCCTGTCTAGCTCCATCCTGATATTACAGCAGCCCCCTCACTGGGCTCTCTGTGCCTGAACTTCTCCACTCTGTGGCCCTCATGCAGCCAAAGGGCCTCGTGAACAGCTGAATAACATCCCAGCCTCTTACTGAAAATCTCATCTTCCCATTGCATTTAGAATAAAATTCTGGGATAAGGGTCTAATTCACTGGTAGAGCACTTGCCCATCATGTGAGAGGCCCTGGATTCCATCCCCAGCACCACTTAAAAAAAAAAAAAAATCAAATTCTACACCATGCTTTAAGCCCATTCATTCAGAACTCCTACTCCACCAGACACTGCTTCAGGGACCAGGCATACAGCAGGGACCAAAACAAGACCTGCTCCCTTTGTGGGCTGTTATTCTTGGGGAAGAAATGCACAAGATACAAGGCGGGGAATATGTCGGGTGGTGTGTAGATGGTGAGGTACTGTAGACAAAGGTGCAGGAGGGTTGAACCTCCTGCTCGAACATACAAGGCAAGTGCTCTACCCCTGGCTCACCCCCCAGCCCCAGGATGCCATTTTACATAAAGTGGTCAGGGAAGCGCTTGCAGAGGAGGAAACATTTCTTCAGAGACCTGCAGAAGGGGTACCATAGGCCACGAAGATCTAGAATCTGGGGAAAGTGTGTCAGGCAGTGGTAACAACGTGTCACCAAGTATAAAGGCTTTGAGGCTGAGGGTGGAGCCTGGCATGTTGGAGGAACAGCAAGGTCAGCAAGCTAGGGGGAGAGGGAGGTGAGCTAGGAGCTGTGGGGACCAGGACACGGAAGACCCAGGTCTGGCTGAAGCCCCAGGACTTTGAACTGTTACAAAATCTGGGCTGGGCCAGGCAGGGCCCTGCAGGCTCCTCTGCGTCTTTTCCTCCTTTCCTTGACTTTTGCTTTTCCTCTGAGTGTGGGTTCTGAGCAAAGGAGGGAGGGACATGATCTGACTCAGGCTCTCAGGGCATCACTTGGCTCCTTACAGGAAAGAGCATATGAGGATGCGGGCTAGGGGCTGGGTACAGGGAGGAGACTGCTGCAGAGGTCCAAAGGAAGATGAGTGAGGGTGGACAGAACCAGGATAGGGCTCTGAAGTGGATGGGTTCTGCGTGTACTTTGAAAATGTAATGACAAAATTTCCCAGAGAACTGTCTGCAGGTAGGACAGGAGAGTGAGAGATGACTGTAAGGCTTTTGCTAAATAGCCAGAAGGATGGAGACACCATTAACTGAGGACTGCAGGGTGATCTGGTTTGGGGGGCAGATCAATTCAACTCAGGAGCACAGTTCCCCCCGCCCCGCCACCAGTACTGGGGATTGAACCCAGTGGGGTTTTACCATGGAGCTACATCCCCAGCCCTTTTTAACTTTTATTTTTAAATACTTATTTATTTAGAGACAGAGTCTTGCTAAGTTGCTCAGGCTGGCTTTGATTTTGCAATCTTCCTGCCTCAGCCTCCTGAGTTGCTGGGATAACAGGTGTGCACTATTTATATTTGAGATGCCTCTTAATGTGGCAATATCATTTTTTTTGGGGGGGTGGTTTACCAGGGATTTGATTCAGGGACACTCAACTATTGAGTCACATCCCCAGCCCATTTTTATATTTTATTTAGAGATAGGGCCTCACTGAGTTGCTTAGAGCCTCACTGTTGCTGAGGCTGGCTTTGAACTTGTGATCCTCTACCCTCAGCCTCCTGAGCTATTGGGATTACAGATGTGCACCATCACCCCCAGCTGCAATATCATTTATCTGTATTTGTTTGCTTATTTATTGTTGCCCTCCCCACTATAATGATAGCCACTTGAGAACTGACCAGGCATATCATGCTCTT